ATTTTAGGAATTGCCACCAAACCTCCTGAAACATTTATTTGCAATATCAAAATGAGTCACGTTTCGCCCCTCCTGTTTGTTCCTCCCAGAAGTAATCACTCATTAAAAATTCACATAGGGCTTGGAGGAACTCAAGGTTTCCAAAGATGGGTCTTGATCACTGGACATTTATAGAGATTTTTGAAGGATCCTCGGTGCTTCTTAAGCTTGTTTCATTATCCAAACTAGATAATTTCATCAATGCAGCACTGATGATGTTACCTAGTGTGTATAATTAATCTGCAAGAAAACAACTACTCTTAGAAAACCTCAAAGACCTCTCATTTCAACCCTGAGCTACAAAACTCTTGATAGAGAGTTTTGTTTCTTCATATTCTTAAACCTTAAATTCAAAAACACTTTGAATGAACTTCAGGAGTTGCTCCCCTTCCCAAAAAAATATTTAGGCAAAGGAAAAGTTTTCCTTGCACGTATGTGATAATTGTTCCTGACTCTAGGGGGCAGGGCTCAGTTTCAAAGCCAAAAAGTCAGCACTGTCTGAAGACGTCTCCATGGTCATGTGGCTGGCATGACTAAACACCAATGATGCACGGAACGCTGTTACCTTCCCACCAAAGGTGGTCCCTATTTTTCTACTTGCATTTTTACATGCTTTGAACTGCTAGGTTGGCAGAAGCTGGGACAAGTAACAGGAGCTCACTCCGTTATGAAGCACTAGGGATTCAAACCGCCGACCTCCCAACCTTTCTGATCGACAAGCTGAGCATCTTAAGCCATTGAGCCACCACGTGGTTAGAGAGAGATTTATTTTAGCATTAACAACCAGCCATCCTGAGTCTGGCTATATCAACATCAGAGGTGGGTTGCTCCCAGTTCAGCCTGGTTCACCCGAACCAGTAGTGGCGGTTGCGGGATGCTCTCCTGGCTGGATGCTTCTGCGTATGCATGTGAGTGCGAGCAGGAGTGAACTGGTAATAAACCAGTTAGAAACCCAACACTGATCAACATCCTCAAGAAAGTTTTCCTCCAAATTTCAGTGGTATCTCCCAAAACCTTGCCCAGTGAAATGCAATTCTTGGAGTGCAAGAGATTTAGTGTGTGCCTGGAGACTGCTATGTTTTATCAATAAATCTTCGCCTATACAGAAGATAAAGTTTATATCCCATCTAATAGCTTAATACAAGAATATATGCCAGAATCTGTTTCTCTTAGTAGAAGAAAAAAGAAATTAAGATGGCTGGATGCCAAAGTTACCATTCCCTCTTCCGGTAGCAAAGGATTCCAGTTACAACTGCCAACACAAGAACCACAGACACCGGGATAATTATGGCAATGATCAATCCCAAAGCTGAAAAGTAGAAGAGAGAAAAGCTAGTAAGACAGCAATATTTCAGTTAGTCAACAACTTCCATCAACCCTATGGGGCAATTCCTAGAAAGTCTTTCAACATTAAGTCAAATTTCCAGAAAATAACCAATGTTGCTTTTAACAGTTTAAAAGGAATGGAAGTAATTGATGGGAAATGGCAAGTTTCCCTCCTGCTGTTTATGCACAGAGAAAGAGCTAAAATACTCTATTGATAGTTGGTACTCTGCTAGCTATTGAAGGACAATTCTATAATTTAAATTACCTAATTAAATATGTCAAGACAACAATAGCAACAACAAAACATCTGTAGGAGTATCAGAAGCACCTGGAAAAATTTCCTTCCTGAGACATTTATCATTTAAATTTTATATTCATTTACATTTTATATAATTTAAATTTTATACTTGTATTTTATATGAGCTGCGGTGGCGCAGTGGTTAAAGAGCAGTACCACTGACTGCCGGCTGACTGCAATTTGGCAGTTTGAGTCTCACCATGCTCAAGGTTGACTCAGCCTTCCATCCTTCTGAGGTTGGTAAAATGAAGACCCAGATATACTGACTGCAAACTGCTTAGAGAGGGCTGTAAAGGACTATGAAGCAATATATAAGTCTAAATGCTATTGCTATTGCTATATTCCTAACCCCCTAAATGGTAGCATCCTAGACACTAAGCAAAAAGATTACTGACAAAGTTCTGATACAATTTCAAAAATATACAAGGCAGCTTTATGAACATCTTGCAACTATATTGGAAACAGTATTCTTAATTTTTCTGTTAATTTACACCTCACAGTCTGACCTCAGTTTGATTCATTGAATTGAACTTTTTCTTATTTTTGCTACCTATTTATAGGTATGTCTTTAACAATCATTCTCCTCTTAAATACATAAAAAGTGCCCATTATTCTGGATTCAATCTTGCCTGTAATTTTACTTCACTTCACTTCACCTACAACCCTCAAGATGTTTTCATATTAAGGTAAAGGTTTCCCCCTTTCAGCTGTTTCTGACTCTAAGGGGTGATGTTCCACTCCATTCCCTTGCTGAGGGAGCCAGAGGTATCCAAAAACACTTTCATAGTCATGTGGGCCAGCATGGATATACACTGAGGTGCACGGGGCGCTGTTATCTTCCCACTGAAGCGGTACCTATTTATCTACTTTCATTTGCAAGCTTTTGAACTGCTAGCTTGGCAGTAGTTGGGGCAGGAACAGGAGCTCACCCTGTCAAATATTGCTTGGGTCTCGAACTGCCAACCTTCCAACCTACAAGTCTAGCTTCTTAATCACTAGGCCACTGCATCATCTTCATTTTTATCTTACTGAACCACATTCCATGTTTCCCCTTTCCCCCATTTCATTTATTTATAGATTTAGACCCTGACTTTAATTGTGGTGCTCACACTTTTGCATCTAAACCTCACAACCACCATTCTGAGATTGAGGGGCTGAAAGGAAATAACTAGACCCAGGTCTTCTAGTGAATTTCCAAAGCTAAAGCTAAATTTCAATCCCCTGAAACACTACACCACATAGGCTCTACAGCTGAATAATTTCCTCCACTTGCAGCAATTAATGGGGTAGCCAGCAGCATCCCACCTCAATTGACAATTTTTTAACAGCAAAAAACGAGGCTAAAAAAGAAAATGGCTACTATGTGAGTCCATAGCAAATCCCTTATCCCTACCCTGAGGAGAGCTAGATAGGTCCATAATAGTGAACCTGTGGCACGCAGGGCCATTTCTGAGGGCACGTGAGACATTGCCCTGTCAGCTGATTTTCAGCCTTGATTAGTTGAAGAACTACCTTGATCAGGGTAGTTTCTGACCTCAGGGGGCTGGGGTGGGCATGGCCAGCCTGATGTCACTCGTGTCGGGAACACCTGTGGTGGCCTAATTGCTCTGCCAGTGAAAATGTGCTACCGAGCTCTGTTTTGGGCTGTGACGGCCTCCTGCAAGCTTTTGCCAGTGAAAATGGAGCTCAGTGGGGCCACGGGAGAGCTCCATTTTCTCTGGCAGAGCCACTGCAAGCCAGGCCTTCGCTATTTCCAGGGTGGCCCCATAGGCTAGATCCAAGCACCCTGTGGGCCAGATTCGGCCCCCGTACCTTGAATTTGACAACCCTGATATTAATGGTATGATTTCCTTTGACAAATGTTGAAACCCAGTCTAATGCTTGCTAAGGGCTACACACCATTTGTTCTTACAACACATGACAACGCCAAAGTACAGAAGAAACATCCAATTGTCTCATTACTTACAATTTTCCTTTGTAACCACATTCAAGGTACTAACAGGTCCAGATCCTGCAGCTGTATAGGCTTCAAAAGTCAAATGGTAACTGGTTTTTCCTTGAAGGCCTGATACTGTCAACACATCTTGGTTTAGATCAGTGACGTTGATTTCTGTGTGGCATTATTGCAAGAGAAAAGGGGGGAGAAGGAGAAGAATTAGAAATGAAATGTCACAAAACAACAAAAAGCATGTTTGTAAAAAAACCCCGCATTCTTTTTTTGGGGGGGGGGGAGAGAAATAGGAAATTAACGATGGCCATATCACACAAGTATAATTTATACAAAATGTTTTATAGATGGCATCTTCTTCCGGCAAGATTGCCCAAAATGTATAGTAATTTATCCCCAAAACGCTGGAAATGCAATCAAGTACCAGGCACATACTACCACATGTAGTGGACATGTAAAAAAGCAAAAGAATTTTGGCAACGGATTCAGATGTGATTAGAAAAAATGGTTGGAAAAAGATTAGAATTTAAACCAGAATTATTTTTATTAGGAATTATAACAGAGGACCACAGGGTCAACATACTTAATACTACACATTATAACAGCAGCGAGAGTGGTATACATCCAACAATGGAAAAGTGAAAATGTACCTTTAGAAAGAGAGATAATAAAGAAAGTATTGGATTGCGCAGAAATAGTTAAAATTGACATTAGAATTTAAAGAATAAAGGAGAGATATAATACCATGATATATGGAATAGATTGTAACAATGATTGGAACTGAGAGGTGGGAGTTGGAACAGGAAATAAACAGGATTTGTAGACCCTAAATGTGTTGTAATATGTGTAAATATAAATGAGTATATTGGGCAGAATAATTGTAAACAATTAGTAATGTATGATGAGTATATGTGATAAGATAGTGTTTTATATGATACTGTGTATGGCGGAGATAACCCCAGGATGGTCGCACTGTGTCCGATATTGTAATATGAAATGAATGAAAATATTTTTTTAAAAGATCCGTGTTATAAACTGCCCAAATTTTCATTTAGGCACCCATAAAAGTTTCATAAACAAATACATAATTTGGAGCCCTCTGTGCTCTCTGAGCTTGGTTGTTTTTTTGTAGAAGTTTCATTACACAACTAGAGAACAACCCAGAGCTGAATGGAGCCCATGGAACGGCTAGTATGATTGTGTGTTGTTGTTGGGGTGGGGATTTATTACTTTATTATTATTTTTTTATTTCTTTTATATTGTGTTTTTATTTCCTGTCAGCTGCCTTGAGTCGCCATGAACGAGTAGGCAGCAATATCAATTTTTCAAACAAATGAATAAATACCATCACATCATAACTATCAATCACCATAATCATGCACTGATTATTAGCTAGTGGGCTAATGAACTGTCTGCAAGAAAACCACCAAGCTCAGAGTATAGCAGTGGTTCCCAAACTTGGCAACTTTAAGACTTGTGGACTTCAACTCCCAGAATTCTCCAACCAGAAGAGCTAGCTGGAGAATTCTGGGAGTTGAAGTCCACAAGTCTTAAAGTTGCCAAGTTTGGGAACCACTGGAGTATAGCAAGGACCCCATAATTCAATCCTGAACTACAAATAATCTGCTCCATAAATACATACATGATACCTGTAAAAAGATAGTAAAAATTGGAGCCTAATTATGGGTCACACAGAATATAAATTCATCTGAATTCAACTGAAAGTTTTGTCTAGACTGGTTTTCAAATCCTGGGACTCAAGGGTAGGCTCCAGATTCTTTTATTGTGGTTCGCTCAGGGATGCGCTACGTGCGCATGTGCAGAAGTAAAAAAAGAAAACAAGATGGCGCCACCATAGGCGCCGCCAATGTAACCGGTTCAGGTGCCTGCATGACCGAGTTATTACCTACTCACTTCTGCTGGGACGGCGGAAAGAGGATTACTGAATGGCCTCCTTTCCATTTTAACTGCAGATCAAGCTGCATCCACATAGTTTATGCACACATAATACAAAAATGATCTTTAAGGAATCACACATAATTGCATCCAAGTTTGCTTGCCTTTTCATAAAGACATCGGTAGCATGACAGGGAATGCAAAGAAAGGGCAACGAAACGAAAGCTGAGCAGATTAAATGATCTGATTTGGGAATTAGTAGAAATAAGGGCTGTTGTCAAGACTGACTCACACTTTCACTTATATTCCGCTTCGCTTGCAACTTGACAAAGAATAGGGGTGGTGGGGGTGGAATGGAATGCAGGAATAGAGGGAATGGCATCCAAGTATCATTGGTTCCTGTGAGATGTTGTTCGTCCTCAAGGGCACTCTGAACAGATGTCTCAGCATTACCAGCTGGTTCCCATAACAAAATGAACAGAAGTGATTGGGGGACATAATGGACTATGGGTGGCCAGTGAGGAAAAAACTATGCTTGCTTTTGTATGGGAAGCCCAGAGCTGGTTTTGCTTCTTCTGTGCCAATGTGGTTTATTCAGTAAAGTTTATACTCTTGGTAATATAATGTCTCAGGAGAAAACTCACATTCAATAATATATTTGATAAAAGAGAATATTTCTTCAACCAATACTGACGGGGTAAATCACTGGAATATAAACTGAGAGCAAACCCCACTACTCACTGAAGATGTTATGTAGTTTGGATAATGAAATTTCTTCAAAAAAATCACCAACCCTTTCTTCCTCATCGGTTAGCATTCCACAACTAATCATGATGTTCAATTTTCAATAGACTGTTATAAAATCCTATAAGACTAAAGTGATTTCTAACACTTCTGCAGTTTCCTACAAGCCCGATATTTCCATTCAAATGTGGACCGGCAATCAGTCCATAATAAAATAAATAAATAAATGCATTATCATCAGAATGTAAAATTCTCCTGGTTAATTTTAGGACAAAAATATTCAGAAAATAATGAAAGGATGGGGAAAGGTCCCTTAGCATCATTAATTCAACTTGTGAAGATCTTCTACTTCACAAGTTTAATTAATAATGCTAAAGGGGCCTTTATTGCTTAATTGAGTTGTGATAAATGCAGAAACTGTGTCACTTGGAAGAAACTAAACCCCTAATATCCAGCCATTGCAACAAATTGTGGCACAATTGCAATTGTGCATGCGTGCCAACGACGTGCTTCAAGCAATGCACAGCACAGGCGCTACTGCGCAGTGCTGATAAGGAGGATTAAAAAGCCTTTTCTTAATCTGCAAAATAGGTAGAACAGCAAGGGAGGAACACCTGTGCTGCGTGATTTAGATTTGTTAGGAAGCAGGATTTCCTGCTTTCTAACAAATATAAATCCGTGGCACGACAAAACCGCGCTGGTCAAAATCGCGGCGATAAAATCACGGTACTAAAGCCGCGACGTCATCGCCGCGCGTCATCACCGCCGCGACAACAGCGTGACAACATAAGGGCGCTTTAAAACGGCGCCGCGGCAGAAAGCCAACTTCATTTAAGGTAAGCGTTAGGATTAGGTTTAGGGGTTTGTTTTAGGGTTAGNGATGTCCCTGGGATCAGCAGGATGTGCCCTTCTCTATCACCATCTCTACGGAATGGTTTAGGTCCAAAGGGACCATCCAGCGGCAGAGATATCGACAGCGATCTTGGAGCTCCAAGATAGCACATCATATCATCGTGACATCAACTCTGCCCTCTGTTGTTTAAGGATATTTAATGGTGAATGCAGAAAATGAAGTCATTTTGTGGCATTTTAACAGACATGAATTCCTATGCCTTTAACAGAAATATGCATAAAACTGGATATTCGTGGTGTCTTGCTTGCAGCCTAGCTGTTACAGGAACTTTGGGGAAGACTGCAGTATGGCCATATGGAAGTAATTTCCTGAAATTAGCATTTTTGACCACTGAAGCTTGATGAAAATTGCTTGTGTTTTTTTTTTAAACTGAAGTTAGTATCTTCTCCCCAGAACTCAAACTGGTAAGTCTGGGACATTTTTTTCCAGATGAACATTTATGTTCTTTCTTGCCAATATTGTATCACAACCTTTAACTGCTGCTAGATCTTTGCACCATTCAGGAAAATGCACAGGATTCTATACCTTGATTTTAGAGCTCTAAAAGTCGCATAACAAACAGTCTGATTCTATTACAGTAGCAACTGTTTTGTTTCCTCAGGTTGACCAGAGAGTATGGAATGGCTGGCCACAACATTTCATGATTTTGCTGCTGGACACATTTTGAAAACCGTGAATCACTTTTCCTCATCCATAGCTTTGATCACATCCTTCAAATCCAGCTTGTTGAGAATACAGATGATTTCCACAAAGATCTTATTGCTGATGGAATTCAGGGTTTCTCTGACTTTGGGGATCAGTAGCCCAAAATAAAAGTCAGCCAATGGAAGTTTTCCCCGTCATCCAATTTCCTGGAAATAATATACTGTAGAGTGGCATGCTATGCTATGCCAATATCTTCACAAATGAAATGTTCTCCTTGGTGAATCAGGCACTGAAATATGGACTATTCTATTCTTCATAATGATTGAATGATTAAAATTTGGATGCTTGGCAATTGGTTCATATTTATGATGGCTGCAGTGGCCCAGGGTCATTTGATCACCTTTTTATGACCTTCTGACAAGCAAAGAGAAGGGGTTAAGGCCAGATTTATTCAACAACTGTGATACTAACTTAATAAATGCAGTGATTCACTGTGGCTATGGCAAGAAAGGTCGTAAAATGGCAAAACAATCACTTAACAACCATCTTGCTTAGTATCGGAAATGTGGGATTTAATTGTGGACATAAGTCAAGGACTACCTACATTTAGATGCCCATGATTATTTCTGTATGTTTATGAGTGGAACAGAAAATAAATCATCACCTCTTACACTCCACCTATTCCTATACATGTGTATACATTTGCCATTATGGGGGGGGGGGGGGCAGAGGCAGTTAGAAGCAGAAGTGGGTTTCTGCCAGTTTGCCCCAGATCAGGCGAACCAGCAGTAGCGGCAGCGGGAGGCTCCGCCCACCTGCCCGGAAGCTTCTGTGTATGTACAGAAGCATCGCACGCTCACACGAGTGTGTACACGCACACGAGCGAACTAGTAATAAAATAAATTGAAACCCACCACTGGTTAGAAGGCCATCTGCCTAAGGGAGGATCAGCTAAACAAAAGAA